GCCAGTTCAACCTGTCAATCATATACATAGGAAGCATTAGACTATTGTTTTACCCTCCTTGGAGCTCATCAGTAGTGCACATCCACCGTTCTGGCCGAGATCTTTATTCCGGACCCGGTTTGTTTGTGGCAAGAGTTTTGGGCTGAAAGACAATTCTCCAGACTATGCTTCAAAGCATGCCTACTACTTCGGCGGTGGATATTTCTTTGACGAATAAGCTGTTGCGAACAATCAGCAGTGAGTGATAAGCGATTTATCTGCAACTAAAAGTCACTGTATACGGTATAGCCATAACCTTGTCATATGCCTGTTTTGCAATGCAAATAACAGATGCGCCTCCTCAAAGTTAGAGGCTGAGTGCTGCCGGGAACACAACTTCGTAATATTATCTCATAAGGCTTCACGAAGTCATCAACAAAACCAACTTTATCGTACGGGAGTGAGTCACTTAAAAAACACCAGACCAGTGGAACCTCCGTGCGTTGGTGATAGCAGAGTGGCTATCATGTGGCTCAATACTACGTATATCCCCTAATGAGGCCTAATGAGGAGTCGCCAATTCATGTCTCTTGCGGGCTAATTAGGAGTACGGGCCCAAGGAAAGCAGGCTTAATTGAGTCACTCAAGGAGTCTGACAGTATACCGATTCACAGTCAGCGACGCCATCTTGAACGTTTCGTTGGACATTTTAAGACATAACTTAGTGGGCCCTCATCTACACAAAACCGCTCAATAGCTCCTTCAACTGGGCAAATACTGACAGTTGATAGAAGTCCTCCATCTGAAATGGAGCTTACCGGGGAATCAGTCATCCAAAAGGTCTGAGGACTCCGACCCGGACAGGCTGTCCCCATCGGTTTTTAAGGATGGAGGTTCAGCGTTCGTCTTGGAATCCACGAAACTCCTGAGAACAATGTGTGAGAGAGAACACGTTCAAAATGAACAGTGTGAATAGGTTATCATAGCGATTTACACGTACAGTGACAGGCCCTCTTTTGAAAACCACAGAGGAATTAATTTGAACAATATTACTTCTAAACTTCTCGCTAGGATCATACTCCGTCAATCTTCCACTACACGTGAACGGTGCACGCGTGAGAACCAAGCTGGTTTCAGACCTAATCAAGGTTGTATAGACCATATCTTTACCCTTCGACAAGTTTTAGAGCACCCACTATTTCCATTTTCCTCGATCTGGAAGTTGAACAAATCATCACCGACATCGACAGATAACCCAAACTGAAGACATTTGCCATTATGTATGATATATACATACATGTAGAGATGCTAATCGAACTCATGCGACATGACTCTCAATACCGGATTGTATATCCAGTATTGAGAGTCATTTCAGTTTGTATTATCATGCTTGTACATCAACCAGTCATGGGTATAGATTATTTATTCCCAACATTATCTCTCACTACAATGTTCTTAAGTCGCTTTTGTCATTATCTGAATAAGCACACCCTTGAGCACAACGGAGTAGACAGAGTTGCGTGACAGAATGTCCCCAGGCTTATGTTCGTGGAGATGATACGGATGAAGGCAGAGAAACGGCGGTACGGAAGGTGAGGCAGCTGGAACATGAAGTGACGAGAGAACACTGACAGAGAGATCCTCTGTGGGTCAGGGTTAAATATAAACCCGCAAGGTAAAGGAAGTAGAACGCCTTAAACCCAAAAGTTCTTTATGAGATATAAGTACTCATGATAAAATATTACTGGCGCGGCAGTCAAGAGATACACCGAGACCAGCCAATGTGAAGCCGTTGTGGAACACCAAAGCAGGTATTAATTTTGCACACAAGTTTGAAGCGTATCGTTCGTCCCTTTGCCGTTCGGTTTCTCGTACTGACAAATACCTGTTGGCGGACGAGAAATACACCGGGCGGGGAAAGTTGATCTGTTGACCTAATTTCAAAATAAAATCCATTTCAGCGATCACTTAAAATGAATCCACGCCCGTCTTTTGATTTGGTTGAGAATCGTAAATACAGAATGTCTTGTTATTTGACTACTTTACATAGCACCCAGGAAATTGAGAAATTGGTTGTGTAGACCAAACAGGTTGTCAATGACTGGCACGATAGTGACGCATAAGCTATAATTTTCTAGTATAATCCTCTTTGTCATGTCACAAGAGAGATTTGCTGAAGAAATATTTTTAGACTTTACTCTTTATACAGGTCTAATCGAAACTGAAGCAACGGGTCCTTGTGAAATACTTCAGGGTTCGTATAGGCAAACAACATTTATACTGAAGTAATTAATCTTTCCAACTAATAGTAAACAAATCTTGATGGGATCTAAATGTTTGTGATAACCGACAGAAAGCATTGGACAGGTGTTTCATCCTGTTTGGGACTCGCCAGCAGTGCGCACTTTTTATGTCCCAGTCAGGACTCGAACCGCGAACTTTCGGGTTGGGATTTCAAACCCTTACCCCTGAGCTACACGGCCGATGGTCATCACATTGTGCGAATAGTTCATTCAATTCTTCGATAGCAAGCTTGGATTAGCCCACNCTCCTGGGTGTGGGCTTCACTCGTCGGGAGATCGTTGATTCCACACAGTAGGCACTGCCGAAGAGCCCCAAACAGGACAAAACAGCTGCTCAGTGCTCCCTGTAGGTTATCAAAAACATTAAGATCGCACGTGAATGTATGCAGTTGTGGGGAACCAACGATAAACCAAGGAGTGGAACCCGAAAAAAACATTGATGAGTCTTTGGAGTAGT